TACATCCATGTTTCTGTATGTTGTGCATTTGCTTTCACTTTTCTCAAGATGTGTTCTAATTTTCTTTGCCTAGGTCATCTCTGAAGATTAGTGATATAAGTGTGTGTAATTCACTTCCTGCAATTTTTTGACTTCCCCTTTTCTTTATGTTATTGTATCTGGTTTCAATCCATCATAGTAAAAAATGATACTGCATTTTTAAACTTGAAGTTAGTTCTACCTTTTTATTCCCTTCCCGTATTTCACCCACACAAGTGTTCCTCCCCCCAACCCTGTATCCTGCATAGGATACCAACAGTCCATTGTCTCTGTTTTGGGGTCTACTTGTCTTATATTCCTCATAAAACTGAAATCCTAAGGTAGGTGTCTTTCTCTGTCTTACTGCACTTAGCGTAATACCTTCCTTTTCCATCCATGTTGTTGCAAATGGCAAACTTTCATTGTTTTTCACAGCTGAGTAATACTCCATTGTAAACATACTGCATCTGTATCTATTCATTTATTGATGGGTGTAGGTTGCTTCTATACTTCGTTATTGTTAATGATGCTGCCGTAAACTAACACATCCATATATCTTTCCAAGTGGGTGATTTTTTTTGTCTTCTGTAGATTCCCAGTAGTGAAATTGATAATTCTTTTAGTGGTTTCTATCTTCCACGAGAAGTGGAGGAGGCTTCCCTTCCCTTCACATCCTTACCACCCTTATTATGTCTTGTATCTTTGATGTTAGCCATTCTGACTGGAGTGAGGTGATCCCCTGATGGTTAGTGAGGTGGGGCATCTTTTCACGTGCCTGTTGGCCGTCTGTGTGTCTGTCTGTGAAAACAGTGTGTCTGGTGCTGTGACCGTTCTCTAGCTGGGTATTCCTTCTTTTGGTCTTGACTTGTATGAGTTCGTTCCATGGTTTCAGTATTAGCCCCATAAGAGGTAAATCATTTGCAAACACATAACCCTACCCATACGTTTTCTTTGAATTTGTTAACTTTTTTTTTTCCTTTGGCTGTTCCGAACCTTTTAGTCGCCCCTTTTTTATTTTTCCTTTTGTTTTCCCTTGCCTGGAAGTAGCACCTCCAGAAGAAACATGATTCTGCTTATGTTGAAGAGTTAACTGCTGTGTTCTCTTCTAGCAGTTTTATGGTTTCAGGTCATATATTTGAGTCTTTTAATCCAGTTTGAGTTAATTTTTGTATGGCATGAAACAAGGATGTAGGTTCATTCTTTGCGTATAGCTGTCCAGGTTCCACAGCACCACTTCCTGGAGATACTGTTTCTTTCCCATAATGTATCCTTTCCTCTGTGTGCTGACCAACCCTGTAAGTATCAGCTAGTTACAGGATGCACGTAAAGCAGAGATAATAGAGCCAATGAGTAATGTAGTGTCTTGGTTTGGTGACTGAAGGAAACTATACTGTGGTGGTGAGCACCCACCCTCAGTACCCCTTCCCTTTGTTAACCACTAGTCCCTTCTTGGAGTCTGTGAGTTTGCTGCTAGTTTGTTCCTTCGGTTTTGCTTTACTGTTATACTCCACAAATGAGGGAAATCATTTGGTATTTGTCTTTCTCTGCCTGGCTTATTTCACTGAGCATAATACACTTTTGCTCCATCCATGTTGTTGCAAATGGAAGGATTTGTTTCTTTCTTATGGCTGAATAGTATTCCATTGTGTATATGTACCACCTTTTCTTTATCTGTTCATCTACTGAGGAACACTTAGGTTGCTTCCATATCTTGGCTATTGTAAATAGTGGTGTTTATAATTGTAGATCATTCTGTTGTACATCTGAAGCCAATATAATATTGCATATTAGCTGTTCTTCACTAAAAATACTCCAGAAAGAAATGATACTTTGTAAGATGTACATTTTCCTAAATTTACTTAGACTTGTTTTGTGGGCTAATGTCTTATCTCCTCTCCATCATGTGTCATCTGACATTGAGAAGATTATTTTTTTCTGCCATTTGGTGAGGATTCTGCATGTTCATTATGTCCAATTACTTTATTATGTTTTGCAAATCCTCTGTCTCCTTATTATCTTCCCCTCTGGTGTTCTATCCATTACTTAGAGTGAGGATTTTGGATTTTCATTATTATTTTGTTTTTATTCGCTTAATTCTGTCACTAATTGTTTGCTTTATGTAGAAGCTCTGATATGGAATACAGAAGTATACATAATTTGGATATTTTTCTGTGAGTGTCTCACTGATAACAACATGGCTGTCACTGTGTCCTGTGATACTCTTTTCTTTTTCTTTTTTATTAAAGTATCACTGATACACAATTTTATGAAGGTTTCACAACAAAAACAGTGTGGATACTATATTCACCATTATTATCAAGACCCCCCACACCCCATTGCAGTCAATGTCCATCAGTGTAGTAAGATGCCACAGAGTCCCCACTTGTCTTCTCTGAGCTACAGTATCTTCCCTGTGGCCCCACACACACCAAGTACACCAATCATCATACCCTACAATCCCTTCTCCCTCCTTCCCCACCCACCCTCAGTACCCCTTCCCTTTGGTAACCACTAGTCCCTTCTTGGAGTCTGTTAGTTTGCTGCTAGTTTGTTCCTTCGGTTTTGCTTCACTGTTATACTCCACAAATGAGGGAAATCATTTGGTATTTGTCTTTCTCTGCCTGGCTTATTTCACTGAGCATAATACACTTTTGCTCCATCATGTGGTTGCAAATGGTAGGATTTGTTTCTTTCTTATGGCTGAATAGTATTCCATTGTGTATATGTACCACCTTTTCTTTATCCATTCATCTACTGAGGGACACTTAGGTTGCTTCCATATCTTGGCTATTGTAAATAGTACTGTGATAAACATAGGGGTGCATATATCCTTCTGAATCTGAGAATTTGCTTTTTTTGTGATAGTCTTTCACAAAGTCCATTTTAACTGAACTGGCCACTCCTCGTATCTCATGATTACCTATTGTGTTGAATATCATTTTCCAGCTTTTTTAGTGTCTGCTTCTGTGTGGCTGCATGTCTAGAGTGAGTCTTCTGTTGATAGCCTGCAGCTGGACCTTGTCTTTTTAATCGACTCTGCCTCTGTTCATCTTTTTCTTGGGAGTTTAATCCCTTTACATTTAATTAATGAAGGGGAAGGAAAGGATTGTCGACTGCATTTCTGTTAAACGTTTTCTGTATGTCTTCTAGTCATTTTTCCATGTGTTCATCTGTGTCTTCCTTTGTGTTTAGTGATTCTTCTATTTTCATACTCTCTTTTGTTTCCCATTGCTGTTTGAGTGTTTTCTGTATGTATTTTCTTTGATATTGCATAAAACATGTTAAATTTATCACAGTCTCTTTGAAGATGGGAACGACTTCATGTCAAAACTACTCCCCAGTACATGCTGCTGATCTCCTAATATTATTAATGGCATGTTGTATCTTCTTATTGTAAATCCATTAAGTGATTTGTGATTATTTGTATAATTGGTCTTTTAAACACCATGTCTACACTATTTTTTGCTCAAATATAACAGTATTACAGGTTTTTACATTTGTATATATATTTACCATCTGCAGAGTGACTTTTAAATCAATTAAAGTTGATCTAAAATCTTACTGCTTTCAGGTGTACAACATAGCTATTTGGCAATTGTGTAGATTTCTAAATGATAACCACAATACATGTACATTATTGTTTTACACATATTTTAAAATACGTATGTTTACCTGATTGTTGTGGGTAATTTGTTGTCTTTATATATTTCAGTGGTGTCTTCTCATTACAAAAAAGCCTTGTTACCCCAGGAAGCTGTAAAAGACTCATTCCAAAGAGTGCTCCTGGGAAGATGTGGGAGCTGTGACCCTGGGGACTCACACCTGAGGACACACTGGGACGGGGAGGCTGAGCGTGGAGGGCAGGACGGCCGTCACGGAGGAGTGCAGAGTCATGGGAGGAGCCCCCGGGACAAGCCCCTCCCTGTCCGTGGGGACCCGCAGCCTGGGGTGACTCAGGACACAACCCAGTGCAAGTCAGTTATTATTTCAGAAAACAGTGTTACTGTGAGTAAATTTCATCATGCAGTTTTGAAACATAACTCTTCTCCAAAGGAAAACCTGGAAAATCTGAAAATTGAGGAAGGGTATGGTGCAAATAATCTGTTGAATCATTTTAAATATAGCAATGCACTAGACATTAAGTCGTACAATTTGGATGACCAAAGACACAATGAGGGAAAAATGTGTAAATATGTTGAAATTGCAATTTCTTTGATAAAGGATTCATTATTCTGTCATGGACAAATAATACCTACTTGTGCCAAAACCTACAGTTTTGAGAACTCTCAGAGAGATTCCATCTACCCATCATTTCTTAATGAATATCAGTGTATTGATAATGAGGAAGAACCTTACAGGCATAATAATACTAGGCAGGCCTTTAGGATGGGCTCGCTATCAAGTAATTGCCAAGGTATTTACATTCAGAAGAGAGCGTATCAACCTGCAGAACAGGGAGTAAAGTATGACAGAGGATCACTCCACAGAGAACAGCAGAGGGCTCAGATTCCCGAAAACCGTTGCCCGTGCAGTGACTGTGGACAAGTCTTCAAGGAATCGTCACACATTATCAGGCACGACGGTGTCCACATTGGAGAGACGACTTACAAATATAAGGAGAGTGGGGAAACTTTTAAACATTTCTCAAAAGTGATTAAATATCGGAGAATTCACACTGGAGAGAAAGCTTGCAAATGTAAAGAATGTGGGAAAGCCTTCAGTCAGACCTCGCCCCTAGATTATCATGAGAGGATCCATCCTGGACAGAAACCATACAAATGTAAAGAGTGTAGCAACTCCTTTCCCCTTGCCTCAGATCTTACTGTGCACAAAGGAATTCATACAGGAGAGAAACCTTGTAAGTATAAGCAGTGTGGAAAAGCCTTTAGTAATTCGTTAAGTATGAATCAACACAAGAAAATGAATAATGGAGTGAAGTCTTACAAGTGTGAGGAATGTGGCAAAGCTTTTAGGTGGGGCTCTCAACTCACTGAACATCAGAGAATTCATTCTGGAGAGAAACCTTACAGATGTACAGAATGCAGCAAATCCTTTACTTGTTCTTCAGGTCTTTCTATCCACCTGAGAGTTCATACGGGAGAGAAACCTTACAAGTGTAAAGAATGTACCAAATCCTTTAGTTTTCGCACAAGTCTTATTGTGCACCAGAGAACTCATACAGGAGAGAAACCCTACAAATGTAAAGAATGTGGCAAAACCTTTAAGTGGGGTTCATGCCTTACAGAACATGAGAGAATTCATTCTGGACAGAAACCTTACAAATGTAAAGAATGCAGCAAATCTTTTACTCGTTCGTCACATCTAACTGAGCACCTGAGAATTCATACAGGAGAGAAACCTTACAAGTGTCAGGAATGTGGCAAAGCTTTTAAGTGGAGCTCCAAACTTACTGAACATCAGAGAGTTCATTCTGGACAAAAACCTTACAAATGTGAAGAATGCAGCAAATTCTTTACTTACTCCTCAAATCTTATTGAGCACAGGAGAATTCATACAGGAGAGAAACCTCACATGTGTGAAGAATGTGGCAAAGCCTTTAAGCGGGGCTCACACCTAACTCAACATCGACGAATTCATTTTGTACAGAAACTATACAAATGTACAGAATGCAGTAAATCCTTTACTTGTTTCTCAGGTCTTACTATGCACCAGAGAATTCATACGGGAGAGAGACCTTACAAGTGTGAAGAATGCGGTAAAGCCTTTACCCAGGCCTCACTCCTTACCCAACATCAGAGAATTCATTCTAGACAGTATCTTTACAAATGTAAAGAGTGCAGCAAATCCTTTGCTCGTTCCTCACATCTTACTGTGCACCAGAGAATTCATACAGGGGAGAAACCTTCTTCTATTTTCATACTCTCTTTTGTTTCCCATTGCTGTTTGAGTGTTTTCTGTATGTATTTTCTTTGATATTGCATAAAACATGTTAAATTTATCACAGTCTCTTTGAAGATGGGAACGACTTCATGTCAAAACTACTCCCCAATACATGCTGCTGATCTCCTAATATTATTAATGGCATGTTGTATCTTCTTATTGTAAATCCATTAAGTGATTTGTGATTATTTGTATAATTGGTCTTTTAAACACCATGTCTACACTATTTTTTGCTCAAATATAACAGTATTACAGGTTTTTACATTTGTATATATATTTACCATCTGCAGAGTGACTTTTAAATCAATTAAAGTTGATCTAAAATCTTACTGCTTTCAGGTGTACAACATAGCTATTTGGCAATTGTGTAGGTTTCTAAATGATAACCACAATACATGTACATTATTGTTTTACACATATTTTAAAATACGTATGTTTACCTGATTGTTGTGGGTAATTTGTTGTCTTTATATATTTCAGTGGTGTCTTCTCATTACAAAAAAGCCTTGTTACCCCAGGAAGCTGTAAAAGACTCATTCCAAAGAGTGCTCCTGGGAAGATGTGGGAGCTGTGACCCTGGGGACTCACACCTGAGGACACACTGGGACGGGGAGGCTGAGCGTGGAGGGCAGGACGGCCGTCACGGAGGAGTGCAGAGTCATGGGAGGAGCCCCCGGGACAAGCCCCTCCCTGTCCGTGGGGACCCGCAGCCTGGGGTGACTCAGGACACAACCCAGTGCAAGTCAGTTATTATTTCAGAAAACAGTGTTACTGTGAGTAAATTTCATCATGCAGTTTTGAAACATAACTCTTCTCCAAAGGAAAACCTGGAAAATCTGAAAATTGAGGAAGGGTATGGTGCAAATAATCTGTTGAATCATTTTAAATATAGCAATGCACTAGACATTAAGTCATACAATTTGGATGACCAAAGACACAATGAGGGAAAAATGTGTAAATATGTTGAAATTGCAATTTCTTTGATAAAGGATTCATTATTCTGTCATGGACAAATAATACCTACTTGTGCCAAAACCTACAGTTTTGAGAACTCTCAGAGAGATTCCATCTACCCATCATTTCTTAATGAATATCAGTGTATTGATAATGAGGAAGAACCTTACATGCATAATAATACTAGGCAGGCCTTTAGGATGGGCTCGCTATCAAGTAATTGCCAAGGTATTTACATTCAGAAGAGAGCGTATCAACCTGCAGAACAGGGAGTAAAGTATGACAGAGGATCACTCCACAGAGAACAGCAGAGGGCTCAGATTCCCGAAAACCGTTGCCCGTGCAGTGACTGTGGACAAGTCTTCAAGGAATCGTCACACATTATCAGGCAC